TCCACATTATTACAGACAGCACTGCTGCCATTCAGATCATCAGGAACAACAACACCCACCCAACTGCCAACAAAATTAAGAAAATACTCCTTCGTTCAAGTAATAATTATTATCTGACCTGGACAAGGGCACACCAAGGCACCAAAGGAAATGAACGGGCAGACACATTGGCTAAGGAAGCCACCACTGAAGACAGTCTTCCTATACAGTACAAAGCGATTCCCTTCTCACATGTTTGCAAAACCCTCTGGGAAGAGCTGCAAATCAACTGGCAAACTGCCTGGGACAGAGATCATAATGTTACCACTCATGCCTACCTTCCCAACATCAAGCACAGGAATGACCTAACATGGCTAAATCCCAGTCATAACCTTACCCAATTCCTGACCAACCACGGCCGCTTCAACAGCTACCTCAATCGTTTCGGTTTCCAGGACAACAACCTGTGTGCTTACTGTGGTGTCTGAGATGGGAGTGACCACTATGTTTTTGATTGTCCTATGCTCCTCAGGGTAAGGACTTTCATTATTACAAGCCTTCCAGCTAACATCACCTGGCCCTGTAATCATCATACTCTCCTCAATAGCAAAGAGCTATACGAACTTCACATCAAGCTGATAAATACATACCAGAGGATAACACCTGTTTACGGTTTCACTCCATCTCCTGCTTAATCTATCACCTTGTTTCTGTGTACTTACTGTGTACTTATTTACATGCTCTGTATCATTTTCCATTGTCCTGTACTCCATTACCAACCGCAATTGTGCTATGCGGTATTGGAGATGTACTTTGTACATATGTAAATAAATTGATTGATTGATTGATTGATTGTTCAAAAAGGGTACAAATCACTCAGCCACCCACTAAGTGGCACCACTCGGTAATCCTTGCGAAATGTCTGAGAAGCTCCAGGCCACTTAGTACAGGCCATTCGAAACAGGTAGCTGTCTCTCTCTGCCATACATACGTGTCACTATCGCCCCCCAGAAAGAATACTTTCAAAATTCAAAATATAGATATGAATAGGCACGACTGTGTAACGCCAAACACAGGTGTGACCGAATAATCTGTCTGAAAACTGCCAAAAGACCTTTTTCTCTATGTGAATAGCTAGGTATAAAACTTTACTCAATTTTATCGAACGAAAACATTGATAATTTCTGTTTCTGAAGATTACATTTTGAAAAATACAGAAAAATGTTTTATGTGTAATTCTTTAGTATTCATTATAGTTTACAGTTCAAAATTTATGTGTTTATATAAGAAATTATGTTTTTATTTTGTTTCTTTTATTTCGTTATAAATTTATTGTATTGCTTACTACTAGATTATCGCCTTAAATACCTTAAAACTATAAAACATTAAAATTAATATGTAAGCGCTCATTGCTTGAGACAATTACTGGAGGTATTGCAAGTATACTACGTGGACGATTCTTAATTGGCAGCATTTGCATTTTCAGTTCAAACGTTTTTCTTAACGGAACTCGTGGTTTTTACTCCAAAGAAATGGAATATATTGGAAAGTATTTTCATCTCTGTTTATATTGCACTAGACGATCAATGTCGACACTTATCGCTTAATCTCGGAAAGAAACATATCACTGCTTCCACTAGATAAAATGACATATTTTGCGTTCTATAGGTGGGCAAAATGCTATATATATGTGAGTTATCTTGCTTATTAACGCAGCAGTATTGCATTAAAAATTATTGAATGTAACGTCTTTGGTGCTATTTCTTATCTGTCAATTATTTTAAAATTTTTCTAAATATAATTTCGACATGATAAAATAATAGTTAATATTTAACAATTATTTTAATTTTTTTTTAGTTTAAATGTTGTAATATTAAATTATATGATATTCCGCCAAGTCTAGTTTTATCTTTCAGAAAGGCTCTGGCTCTATAATAAATAAGTTAAAAATCAATGTAACGTTACCGAGAAGATGAAATTTGCACTTTAAATAAATAATTTTTTTGTTTATAATAATAAAACATATAGACAGTGTTGCAGTGGCATTTATTATATATAATACAGATACAACGCGATTTTCGAAAACTGAAACTGTTTATCCTTTATTGTTTCTTCCTGTGTGGAACATAAAGAGAAAATATACACCTCAACTGAAAAAATTTCTTAGCTGCTGTATATGGAAATGGAAATAACAAGCGACATGCATTGTTATTGGTAATGTTCCACATAAAAAAACCAAATAATTAACAAACTCATAACAAATACAGAGCATTAATTCTTGTGCGAAAATAGTTTATCTTAATTTAGTTTTTACATTTATTTTGAACCGTAAAATTAAAAAAAAGAAAGGAAAATAAAGTGTATGAATAAGGGTAAACTATTCCTTTATCCAGAAAAATTCTTGTAAGTAAAGTGTAAATTAATAATTTAACTATTTTGAGTTAGTATTACGATTGTAAGAAAATTATTTTATGAAATTACAGTTAATGTTACTAATTTTCAGTGGGATCTAGTGTGTGACAGAGCATGGTTAGTATCTTTTGCGCAACTGTTGTATTTTATAGGATTTTTAATCTCTGTTTTCATTGGAGGTCAATTATCTGATAAGTATGTTTTTATTATTAAGATATACAGTATACAAATATTATACGTATATCTGAATGTATATTTTTTCCACTCACAAATAGATTTGGCAGGAAACCTATGTTCTACTTGTGTTCAGCGTGGACATTCACATTCAGTATGATAAGTATATTTACTTCGTCTTTCTGGATGTTTCTTGCATGTCGATTTTTACTTGCATTTGGTAGGCCAACTTCGACACTAATCGTGTATGTACATGGTAAGCATTTTTTAAAAAATTATTATTGAAATATTGTATAACAATTTTATTCGATTGTTTCAATTAAAAACAAAAAACTTCCTTTTATTCTGTGATGTAGTAACAGAAATTGTTAAAAAAGAACACAGACTGATGGTAGGATTAATGGGTAAACTAGGATATATAATGGGACAACTTATTCTCCCTGGACTTGTTTGGATTTTCAGAGATTGGTTTTATATAGAAATAATATGTGTTTTACCATGTGTAATCTGTCTTCCGTCGTGGTGGTAAGAAAACTCATTTTAAATTAATTTTAAAGAATTAAATTAATTAATTAAAGGATGAATTGTTTTACTGACAATTTTTTAAACTTTCAATGTAATTTTTTGTAATTTTGTAATTGTAAAGGGTCACTTCGGAATCTCCAAGGTGGCTTATTACCCAAGGAAAAATAATTGAAGCCGAGAAAGTAATGAGGAAAGCAATAAAAATAAATAAACTCCAAATTGAAAATTTCGCTAAAAAATTCAAGAATATAACTGAAAAAATTGTGAAGGTAATTAAGTTCTAACATATCTCTTTAATCGGTCATTTTAAATGAATATACTGTTAAAAAATAATAATATATTTGCTCGATATATAATTGATTACTATTAATTTAGGAAATGATTAATTTCCTATATATATTAATAGAAATATATTTGAAATTTAGGAAAGCGAAGAAAAAGGCAAACGAGTGACATTTCTGAATATCATGAAAAATTCTCATTTACGAAAAGTCAGTTTAATATTCTACATAATTTCGTAAGTTCAACAAAATCTGATGTTAATAACCTTGTTAAAATTAGTGAAATACATATTTGAAATCTGAACATTCTTTGGAATTTTATTTTAATTATACAGTCGAACGATTCACTGTTCAAACAAATCGGTTCGTGAACAGAATTTCGAACTCGTAATTACACTGGTTACAAAACAATATACCGAATAGTTTTGATTAATTTGCGGCCAAAATGCTCAACAAAACCCTGGCGTGTGCATAAATTACTTTTTGGAAAATATAATTAACTCCGAGCAAAAATATATTCAAAAAACGAAAGTGTCGACTTTCGCTTCTTTGACGCTTAATAACAAAAAAGTATTTTGACATTTTCGGGTGTTGTTTTTGGAATATAAAGCTAGATAGTTGCTTGATATTTTTCCTGAGTTTGGTGAATTTCGGTCAAACTACGGAAAAGTTATCCGAGTTCTAAAAAAAAAGGAATCGGATTTACGTCCCTCATCCCCATGTACCGATTTAAAGGAAATGTCATTTCCTTTCATCCACATGTCAGCAATTACGCTCAACTCCTTCCTCTCATCCCATCGGAAATTTTAGACTTTTCTGTAACTATTTCAAATATATGAATTTTAGCCGTGTCAAGCGATTTATCGACGTTATGTTTTAGACACTTGCCTCAGTCCAGACTGGATAAACTCAAATGCCGACGGTTTAACGATCGACTCTAATTTATCCAAGACTTTCCCTGCTTAAATGCCAACTGATTTTATTTTATTATTCTTTTATTTCTTATTTCTTAGTTTAGTGTAGTTTAATTTCTTTATTACACTTTATTTTTTTATCTGTACTGTTCGTCATATTTTTTTCCTTTTCTCAACAATAAATAACTTATGATCTTTTAATTTGTGACATATTACTGCTCAAACTGCTCGCCTAGGCTAACTACATTCAGAAACATCCCCGATGTTACCTATCTAGTTCATGCGTTTCGTTATATATTATGTGTTATTTGTCAATTTTTAGCAATTCTTTTTCTTTTATTTGTTTTCTGGTCGACAGTTTTTGGGTCCCCCTTGAGTTTTGTATCTTTTAGTTCAAAATTTCCAGATTTGACATGTTGAAAATTTAAAAGCATCTTCCTTATGCACATGGCCCATCAGTGGGCGAATGGATTAAATCACTAAACAGTGGTATTTGGTCGTAGGTTTGCGCCTTGCCAACGAACTCGCCACGTAGGGTTTTCCGGATTTTCTTCACATTTTAACATCTAAATAGAGCCCAGTTTCCGATAAAAGACATCCCTGGAGGCATTCTTCACTCGACATGTCGCGTTGCCGTATACGAATAAAACCAAAGCAAACCTTATATACATTACGAATTCTCTTTATTGTTCTTACGATGTTATATCCTATCTGAAATTCGTAAAGCGTAATATACCTGATATGTCTTTTATCTGAAGACACTTCAATTTAATTTTATTTAACGACTGTCGTTACTTAATTTATGTGCGTGGCTTATTATAACAGTTGTGAAATTTAACACATTATTGCTAATGTGAGATTGTATTCTTTGTTTAGAAGCTTATTTTCAAGACTTTTTACTTCATATTTTGTTTTAAAATATGCAAAACATTCTATTCAACCCAATGTAAGATTTACTTTCTACTGTAACTGTGGCATTCGAGATGNAAATGCACTTTAAAATGGCGTTTCGTCGCTTTTTATTAATTAGAGACCCAAATAAAACAAATACTCGTGTTTTTCAAATAAATTTTCGTTTGTCTCTTTTATAATAAATGAATTTATCTATTTCTAAGTAAAAATTGAAAGTGTCTGTAGAAGTAATTTTTTAAAATATCCTTTTTTTTGATAAAGTTTTAATACTTGTTATTATAATCTAAACATGTTTATCGTTAAATATACTTGTATATTGGGCCACAAATATATATTATATATACTTGAGGCTCAAAACTCCTTGACTTCTTCCAATGCGGCCCAGAGAAACAAAAAGGTTGGACACCCCTGCACTAAACAGTGGTATTTGGTCGTAGGTTTGCGCCTTGCCAACGAACTCGCCACGTAGAGTTTTCCGGATTTTCTTCACATTTTAACATCTAAATAGGGCCCAGTTTCCGATAAAAGACATCCCTGGAGGCATTATTCACGCGACATGTCGCGTTGCCGTATACGGATAAAACCAAAGCAAACCTTATATACATTACGATTTCTCTTTATTGTTCTAACGATGTTATATCCTATCTGAAATTCGTAAAGCGTAATATACCTGATATGTCTTTTATCTGAAGACACTTCAACTTAATTTTATTTAACGACTGTCGTTACTTAATTTATGTGCGTGGCTTATTATAACAGTTGTGAAATTTAACACATTATTGCTAATGTGAGATTGTATTCTTTGTTTAGAAGCTTATTTTCAAGACTTTTTACTTCATATTTTGTTTTAAAATATGCAAAACATTCTATTCAACCCAATGTAAGATTTACTTTCTACTGTAGGCTAACTGTGGCATTCGATGTGTGTGATAGAAACGAAGATTAATAGGAAGGTTGTAGTGTGAACGATTGAGATGGAAAAGGAACTTATTGCGAAATATGAAAGCGATACACGTGTCGCATCTTGTGGCCATGTTTACCATGCTGAAGTCGACGGTGTATGAACAGTAAATGAAATTATATGATATTTACGTCGTTTATTTATGGTTTCCGTGGTTTAATTTATTATTCGCGCATTTAAATGCGCTATTTTTACCTTAAAGTATGTGCATTTGCTGTTTAAGTTTATTAAAATGGGTATTGTTCCGGGCATGGAAATAGATTAATTCACTTTCCGTTATTTCTAATGGGATAAATTGATTCAGACTTGGAACGATTCGAAGTTCGAATGGCTTCGAGAAATTAATTAAATTCAGGAAGACATTCAAACTTCAGGCATTGCTGTATTTTGTTTGTGTTGTTTTATATTTCATAACAACTAAGCTCTAACAATTCTACTAATAAATATTGGCTGATATGTTATCTGATATGTTGGCTGATATGTTATCACAAGTAGTAGATAGAAAAAGGTACGTACAGTACAATGCGAATTGTATATTTTTTAAATTGCATATTTTTTAAATTAATTAATAAAGCAAAATTAATGAATGCAGATTCTATTCGTGTACATGTATAGGCAATATGAAAACGAAATTCCGTAAATTATAAAAAAAAAAACACTTAAATAATGAACGTACTTATGGGAATTAAACTATAAAATTAACTGAAGTAAAACGAATGTCTAATTATTCGTAATTAAAAATTTTTCTACAGAATAACAATTGTTCTCTCATATTATGGATTATCATTCTCAGCTTATGATATTGGAATAGACATATTATTATTCTTCTTCCTGGCTGCTGTAGTAGAAATACCAGCTTCTGCCGTTTACTTTTNATACCTGATATGTCTTTTATCTGAAGACACTTCAATTTAATTTTATTTAACGACTGTCGTTACTTAATTTATGTGCGTGGCTTATTATAACAGTTGTGAAATTTAACACATTATTGCTAATGTGAGATTGTATTCTTTGTTTAGAAGCTTATTTTCAAGACTTTTTACTTCATATTTTGTTTTAAAATATGCAAAACATTCTATTCAACCCAATGTAAGATTTACTTTCTACTGTAACTGTGGCATTCGAGATGTGTGTGGTAGAAACGAAGTTTAATAGGAAGGTTGTAGTGTGAACGATTGAGATGAAAAAGGAACTTATTGCGAAACATGAAAGCGATACACGTGTCGCATCTTGTGGCCATGTTTACCATGCTGAAGTCGTCGGTGTGTGAATAGTAAATGTAATTATACGATATTTACGTCGTTTATTTATGGTTTCCGTGGTTTAATTTACTATTCGTGCACTTAAATGCGCTATTTTTACCTTAAAGTTTGTGCATTTGCTGTTTAAGTTTATTGAAATGGGTATTGTTCCGGGAATGGAAATAGATTAATTCACTTTCCGTTATTTCTAATGGGATAAATTGATTCAGACTTGGAACGATTCGGAGTTCGAATGGCTTCGAGAAATTAATTATATTCAGGAAGACATTCAAACTTCAGGCATTGCTGTATTTTATTTGTGTTGTTTTATATTTCGTAACAACTAAGCTCTAACAATTCTACTCATAAATTGTAAAGCAAAATTAATGAATGCAGATTCTATTCGTGTACATGTATAGGCAATATGAAAACGAAATTCCGTAAATTATAAAAAAAAAACTTATTGTGTACTGTACACAATAAGCAAATACAACACAGTTTCGACAACATCAAAAAAAAAACATTTAAATAATGAAAGTATTTATGGGAATTAAACTAAAAAATTAACTGAAATAAAACGAATGTCTAATTATTCGTAATTAAAAATTTCTTCTACAGAATAACAATTGTTCTCTCATATTATGGATTACTAACATATCTCTTTAATCGGGCATTTTAAATGAATATACTGTTAAAAAATAATAATATATTTGCTTGATATATAATTCATTATTATTCATTTAGGAAATGATTAATTTCCTATATATATATTAATAGGAATATATTTGAAATTTAGGAAAGCGAAGAAAAAGGCAAACGAGTGACATTTCTGAATATCATGAAAAATTCTCATTTACGAAAAGTCAGTTTAATATTCTACATANTAATAAAAATAATTAAACGAAATAGAAATGAGCAATTATTTATTGTAACATGGTCACAATACCTGACTGTAATTTTTAATCATATTTTTCTTCTTCCTGGCTGCTGTAGTAGAAATACCAGCTTCTGCCGTTTACTTTTACCTTCAAAAATTCATTGGTAGGCGATATACACTGATCGTTTCTATGGCAGGAAGCGGTCTGATGTATCTTTTAGCAATTGCAGTGCAATCAGGTATTTCTTTAACGTCTCAATACTTTAATTTCAATTATTACTAGTTGATTTAAATATCTATATTTGCAGGTTATCCAATCATTCTAATTGCTTTTACTGTAATATCCAGATTTTGTACAACGATTTCATTAAGTTCCTTGAATTTATTTGCAACGGAGACTTATCCTACTGTTGTACGCAATGTTGGAATAGGATTACTTTCAATGATGGGAAGAGTAGGTGCTCTGGCAGCTCCATTTATGAGAGAAGCAGTACGTATTATTATTTAATTTAAGTAAAATTTGTTTACTTTTTAATATGTAATATTATATAATTTTTTAAGGCCAACAATGTTCATATTTCATTTCCTCTTGCGTTGTTTGGAACACTTTCTCTTATTTGTTGTGTTTTGACCTTACTTTTACCGGAAACTAAAGATTCACGGTTGGCTGATATGTTATCACAAGTAGAAGATAGAAAAAGGTACGTACAATGCGAAATAATTTACATGATAGACTTCTGTTCTAGACTAGAAGTTTATATATCGAGGCCTACGTCATCTAAGCTTTTCATATCTGTTACATAATTATATAATTTAATAAATTGCAAAAAAGGTATTTTTTATTAATAGTAAAGGTGTTAACTGATGTAAGATTCATATTAGTTTATTCCCTTTTGTTTAAAATAAATTTGTTTAATCTACTCAGCGGCACTATAAATAAATATTGACAATGATTATCAAAAATAATTTAAAAAATATACAATTATTATGCATGATTAGTGTTTGTATTTATTTTTAGAAATGGTCTTCTTGTGCATGGAATGAAAGCTGAAAATGAAGAAGAAGAAGAAGGAAATTAAGCATCAAATTATTTAACTTGAATATACAATAGATATTACTACGGTTAGAAAATATAAGTAATACTGCACTTTCAGTAATTTACATATTATATGGTAGGCTTATATAATGTATAAACTGTAGAAACTTTATATCACATTTTCGGCTATAGGTTCCTTATATCAAAACGTTCAAAATTTTATACTCTACAATCCTCCAAATTTTTAAAACGTCATTCTGATACACCCTGTATAACAGGAATTCTTACATGTTAAAAGCTTAATATTAATTTAACNCAGCGGTCCCCAACCTTTTTATCGCCGCGGACCGGTCAACGTTTGATAACTTTACCGCGGCCCACTGAGGGGGGACGTTGATTGTTCATATTTTACATTGATTTAATTTAATAATTTTAATTTAACTGTATTTAAACGTGCCTTCAAAATAAAATACAATTACACCAAAAAATGAATATAATGTGATTTAACATTTTAACTCACCAGAACGCTAAATCAATGAGAACCCTGAGCTTGTTTCTTTGCAACGAGACAGTTCCATCTGGGGGTAATAGAAGACAATGACACTCGAAGTGTGTTTCTTATATCCAGTTTATTCCGCTGTTCCGTCGTCTATTAAAAGTCGCATAAACCGGAGACAAATACACCATAGTAAATAAAATGGAAATAATTTAATGTTCTTTGGGCGGCCCGGTACCATTTGATCCACGGACCGGTACCGGTCCGCGGCCCGGGGGTTGGGGACAACTGGCTTATATAATGTATAAACTGTAGAAACTTTATATCACAATTTCGGCTATAGGTTCCTTATATCAAAACGTTCAAAATTTCATCCTCTACAATCCCCCAAATTTTTAAAACGTCATTCTGATACACCCTGTATAACAGAAATTCTTACATGTTAAAAGCTTAATATTAATTTAACGACAGCAAATAAATGTATGTTTTGATTGAGAATGTTACAATATATTCGAGATTTTTATAAAAATCAGTAAATTCAATTACATCAGAGCCGTAACTAGGATTTTGGACGCATATGGCCAAGAATAAAAATGGCGCCTTTTTAAGTTTTATTATTAAAAAAATAATTTTATTGTAAAAAAATACTATTGTAAAAAATTACCTAATGGCATTTAAATATATTTATATAAATATAAATATAAATTTTTTTTTGTTCTTAATTTCGAATACATATTATTTCGAAACCTTATCATTGGCGCCTTTATTAAATCGGCGCATATGGCGGGGGCCACGGCTCGGAATTACATTATATATTTATTTAGTTTTCATTATAATTAGACCTATTATTATTATTAATTGTACATTTACACAGATATAACAATAAACAGCAACTATACCAGTTCAGTTTTAACTACTAGTATATTTGTAGGAAGAATTATTGTGAGAATTTTGTAGAAGAATAATATTTCAAAAGTAATTTATTTGAAATGTAAGCAATTTTTGTCAAATCAATGTACTTTTTTGTGTCCAAATAGATTTTCCTCGTCGAATCACCAATGACAAGTTGTAAATTAATAAAAATAATTAAACGAAATAGAAATGAGCAATTATTTATTGTAACATGGTCACAATACCTGACTGTAATTTTTAATCATATTTTTAATTTTATTTAATTCACAAGAATACGTCTTGTTTATAAAATCGTACTGCCTGCTGTGTTACCTGCTTAAAGATATGAAGAAGTACATGTTAGGAGTTGCAATTTGGCACAGAGTAGTATGTGCCCAAATTATGCGCGCATAAAAATACCAGACTTGTAGGTATTTAGGGGACCGAGAACCGAGTCAAAATAAAATACAAAATAGCGACTCCCTCTACAAACAAGCAAACCGGAGTCAGGTGATGAGAGTACCACCCACAGTCGTTCTAGGAAGTGGCTCTGACCCTAGGACTGAACACGTAGTACTTTTTTTTTGTTTTGTTAAATAAAATTTGTAATCTGAATGTGTAAAATTGGGAGTGCTTCAAATATGACATTAAAACAGGGTTTTATGTCATTACAAGTAGGTTTTTTTTAACATTATCTAGTATAGTAAAGTCGTGGGACCGATAAAAATTTGATGTTATATTAGGTCGTCGTTACATCCGACGACATTATAATCGGGTTAAACTGTATATTGTTTGTGCAAAATTAAAAAATAATTTCGGACGATACAATAGCCACGATTATTTTTTTTTTAACGGGAAGTTTTCGTTAGGCATCGACAAAAATTCAACCCGGGCCGACACGCAACGGAGAGAAATTTCGAAATTGGATAGGTTAATTTCATCGAAAATGCATGGTGGACGACCTCGTGGTCGAGGCCGGCGAAGTTCGAACGATCGCGCCCAAAAGCAGTGATATTAAAGAAGATTGAAGAATGAGAACGAGACCAGCCTTGAGAGTCAAAGTGATTTCGCTTAGTATTGAGTCTCCGAGACACAGTCTTGTCCCAAATACGGTTTTCCTCCACCTGAAATTAATATTTTAGCGTCTTGCCCCTTTACATCATACTTTTCCTTTAGCAAATCGAGTCGTGCTGGGGATCTATTTAACTCCTTTCCGAGGAAATATATGAATTGAAATAACGTGACTTTCGCTTTGCATCAGAAGTTCATATATAGTTAGATAATGGTGGCCTCCTACCTTCAATATTTTCATATCTGGTTTAGGCTTTCATCTATATAACTCCGTTTACCATGTCTTTCCATGTCTGGTCTTCAGGGGCTTGATGATAGGGAAGCTGTGTTTCTGTAAGAAGCCGACTTCCAGGGGCAATCAGTCAGCGATGGTTTAGGGTCCATTCGTATTCGTTTGTTCGATAAGACAGTAAAAACTGTAGACTTCTCTAAATGTATTTTTAATTAATAGATTATATAACGCACTTAATAAATAGACAAGTTCAATATAATTAACTCTGTTATATTAGATTCAATAGATTCCGTATGCCCTCTAAATGCCAATTATTGCTTTGATAACATCTACTAATTTAGATATAATATATCCATTAGCCGTAAGTGTGTTATAACTTTTCAGAAAAACTTTTCAGCAAAAATTCTTTTTTACTGCTATAGTGGTTACTCATAAGGAAACCGCCTAAAACAACTGTCAGTCTGAAAGGTAATAACAAGCAATTGATACAATTATTTCTTATAAAATGGTATAGATGTTTCCTGTTTATGAACACTGATTATTATGAGGAAAAGCATTGTTAGTGCATAAACGATAATTTCCAGAAATACTTCATAGTAATATTTCATAATTTAATGTTAATCGCATAAAATTAAACGTATTTTATTGCGAATTTCTTCCGTAAGACGTCATGCAAATAGCCTAATTAAATACGTTCATGTGTTTCGGCGATTTAAAAATACGAAATAATAGCTCAATTCGTTGAGATCAGAACTTTATGCATATTATTATTCTTTTATAGTTCTATTCTAATAAGCATAAATTTGATATAAAATCATTATATAATGCACCTGATAGTGAAAGTCAAGGTGAATTATCGCTGTTTAAATAGTGGATACTTCAGATGATATTTTCTCCTGTTAGATATGTTTACTTTATTAGTGAACATAGATGATTATCCTATTTTTGATCGAAATATTAAAGAAAATATCATACTAAATAACAGATCAAAACAGATAAAAGTGTTAGAACAATGGCATTTGGAACGTGAGTAGAATCATACTCGACGTTTCAAACGCCATTGTCAAACTACTAGGCTTACAGGAAGGCGGCACTGAACGTCCGACGTACACGTTTTCGCGATGAAAACGTCGGCCGCAACCTCTCTATTACTTGCAAGCAGAAATGCATTAAGTTTTAGTACTCATTAATAAAGTAAACATCTTAGAAGACATCAACTATGTAAATAGAAATAAATCAGTTTGAAGTTTACGATGGTGTACATGTGACTATAAATCAATTTTAAGAATGTGAATATCAGAATAAATATCGAAGTCTACTAAAATGCACAACATTTGTGTCTTTACCAAGGAAGTCAACATTTTAAACTTTTTACCTACTAAAGATAACAATGTAAGTCTAATTGTTGCCATGATGGCTGGCCCACACTCTCAGGTATGTGGAAGATATCTTTATTATATGAAAAACAAAATCAGATATAAATGGCTTCATACAACAAATGAATATCAAGAAATATATTATACTATAATTTGCTAAACTATTTTAAAAAATAGCCGTTCTATTTTCATTAATTTATATAGACTCAGCATTTGTGTAAGTTGACATAATTTGCTGTAATATGATTCGAAAGTTCCTTTTTATGTATCACTAATTTATTATTGACCTGCTTCATTGTTTTTTAGATTTCGACACGTAAATTTCGCTAAAGTAATTTTGTTTTCAAATAACTTAAAGGTGTCGACAACCCATGCTAGTTATAAAATATTAATTAAGTGTTTTAATAGAAATTTGATTTTCATACTAAATAATTATAATATTTATAAAAAATGATATTTCATTAAATTAATATATTAATATATTTACTGCTGATTATCGCATATTGCTGATGTTTATTTTACTTTTATTTTTCAGCTTGCATTTTTTGGTTTTTTAGTAAAAAAAACTTATTAAATTCTTAGCATAAAATTTTTGCAAATAATAATCGTCACGAAATAAGTAAACACAATAAAAATTTCATTAAATAATTTATTAAATTGTAATAAACCAATGTAAACCCCAATTTAATCGAAACGAAAAACGAAATTTCATAGAAAAAATATTGAAATAACATCGATTATTTGAGGAAGCGAATGATTATAATTCATCAATTTATCATGAACTTTCGCATCTTTGAATTTTATACATTATCATGCAACTAATATTAATATTTAATTTTAAAATGTTTATTGACCACATAATTTATGCAAACATAAGTTAACGATTAAAATTTTTCTAATAATTTGTAACAAACAACACGAAAAATGTATTTTAATTTACAAGAAACAATTTGTTTGACTTGTTTCTTAGAACCTTACTTAAGGATGGCTATCACCTTTGGCTTCGATATTTTTAACATATGTAGCTGCAGAA